GGGGGGGGGGGGGGGGGGGTGGGGAAAAGGGGGGGGGGGGGGGGGGGTGGTAGAGGGTGATGGTGGAACAATGGCGGTGATGTGAGGGTGGCGACAACCGATGGTGGTGGTGGTGATGATGGTGGTAGGGGTGGTGAGGGTGAGAATGGTAGGATAGTGGGGGGTGGTGGCGACGATGATGATAGTGATGGTGGTGGTAGGGTAACGACAGCAGCGGTGGTGATAGTGATGGTAGTATGAGACGGTGGGGATGGTGGTAGTGGTGATGGGGCGGTGGGTTTGGTGATGGTGGTGGGGTAGCGATGGTGGTGTTGGTGGTGACGACGGTAGTAATGGTGATTGTTGTGATAGAGGTGGTGGGGGTTGTTGGGGGGGGGTAGTTATGGTGATGGTGTGACGATGGTTGTGGTAGTGGAGCGGTGTGGGTGGTGGTGGTAGTAATGGGGTAGTTGTGGTGATAAGATGACGGTGGTGGTGGTAATGGTGGGGCGATTCCAAAACAATTTTTTTTTAATACTTATGAAAAGTTATAAGTACAAAAAATATTTTTAAAAAGTTATCTTAAACACATCTATTAAATTTAGAGTGTTTATATTAGTCATCAAATTAATTTTATAGTAAAATTTAAACAGATTTCAATTGCAAAAATAGAAAGTCATTTTATTTATCTTTTGATATTTAAATTTTATTATATTATATTATATAAATAAGGTATATATACAATTCGGATCGGATTTTGATATATACAAATTCATATCCAATAAATATAATATAACGGATTTGGACAATTAATAAAATTATCAATCCATATCTGATCTAATCAAATTCGGACCAAAATTCAATCTACTGACAGGGTTACTTATGGCTCTCCACGTGACAGATCGGGCCATCCCATGGCTCGGTGGACTGCTGGACTTGGGGCAAATCATTGGCCCTGAGCATTTGGGCTTATGAGCCTACTTATAACTCTTCACTTGGGCCCTTTTATGGCTGGATGGACTTGGGCCCAAACCATGGGCCCTGACTTTCTTGTCGGTCCTATCTATAACTGTTAGTCAATATGATAGACCTAATTGTGCCAGTCATCTTTGTTTCTAGACGGTCTTTTTCAGTGTGCAAATAACGGTCAACCTTCAATTCTCATCACCCCCCCCCAACCCCTCCAAAAAAAACCCCTGTTTAGAATAATGCTCTTCATTAGAAAGAATAAAATGTATGTGATGCACAAAAGGACAATAAAATAGCAAGTTGATGTATTAGACTACTAATAAAAGTTCACACATCTACAACTACAACCATTTGTTTTACGATTAAAACTCACATGTTCACACAATACCCCCCCCCCCCCTC